CCACAGTACAAAGGATCAGGGCCCCTTGTGGGCAACCCCCTTTGTCTGACTGTTTGCCCGCACTTTTGTGTAAAGAAGTTAAAAAAAAAAAAAAAAAAAAAAAAAAAAAAAACTTGATGGTTTGGGGGCCACTTCAAATAAACAAGGAATTCCCAATTTGCGCCAGGACCTGTTTGCCCGCTTTTGCCCGGATTCTTTCCTGCATGTTTTTTCCGGCAAAAATCAATTGCCGCAATAGAGGACCCCAGAACAGTCTCAGGATCCTGAACTCGGAAACAAGTTGCTACGATAGGGGACCCAATTCCAATTGGGGGTCTACCATTAACAAAGGGAACCACCGTTTTTGCAAACTAAACGGCCAATGGCTGATTACCTGCTGTAAGTTGGATTCGGGGTAATGTTGACCCAGGACTAACAAAGGTCTGAATCCCCACTAAAAGGGGACACCCCCCCCATAAAAATCAACCAGGGGTTTATTAATCCGGGGTTAACATTAGTCCCTGTGAGCAAACAAAAGAAAGAGCTAAGGGGCATGCTCCAGATAGGCCTCCAGCCGCTTGTCCAGCTTGTAGTGGGCCTGAAGCAAACAACCCTTCATACATAGGTGTCCTTTTACGGGAAATTAAACCACCACATCTATGTTTCTAGCAAAACAACCAAAAAGGACACCTATGCCTATGCCTTCATAGTGTGTGGAGGGAGAAAATTCGATCGCACCACCTAAGAAACCATGAAGAACCATTGTTTGTTGGTAGTTATAGGGGAAGAATCACGTTTAGGTCTCTTTAGGTTTTGCAGGATTTCGTCCATCCACAGTATGAGTCGCGGAACATGGGATGCTGGTGAACCTCCATTCAATGGGATATTGGTGAGTGAAACACATGTATTCCTTCTAGTACAGTACTTCACAGAAAATGTTGACCAGTTGCTCACAAATTCAATCCAAACCCTGCAAAGGCCATACGCGTACTAACCCGCGGAGGTGAGTTGCAGTATGAGGAGTGTTTGGATCCTGTGAACGCATCCGGTGGATTTCTAGGAAAGGACACACCTCCTGGTCTGCAAACTGACTTGCCCCGAGCTTCGCGGAGGAAACTTCCGGTTTGCCCATGTTGCGTGTTGGCCGGATCCCACGGTTCGGGCCACTGTTAATGTTAGAAAGCGATTAATAAAAGGGGAGAGAATACAGAAAACACTCTCAAAATTATTCACTCTCCTGAAAAGCAAAAAGGGTAGGTATTACCGAAAAAGATCTGCCCGAAATCCCGAAAATATGTCCCCTTTCAAGAATGGACTATTTGTGAGGGTTGAAACGTTTGAGTCCAGCCAGAAATGTCCAGAATCTCTGGATTGCTTCCTGTCCCAAACCACCAAATTCCTTATCAATCCCTTTACAAGAAGATGCACCCTGACAAATGTTCAAGGGGGTGGCACACGGAACCCCCAGGAAGGCAATAATGCAGTTTGTTTAAGGGTAGGGAATTGTGAAAAAACAAGCCAGAAATGTCCAGAATCTCTGGATTGCTTCCTGTCCCAAACCACCAAATTCCTTATCAATCCCTTTACAAGAAGATGCACCTGACAAATGTTCAAGGGGGTGGCACACGGAACCCCCAAAAGGCAATAATGCAGTTTGTTTAAGGGTAGGGAATTGTGAAAAAACAAATTGGCCAGGGCAGCCTGCCAAGAAGAAAGCCCTGCTGTTCTCAGGTAAAGCCAGAAATGTCCAGAATCTCTGGATTGCTTCCTGTCCCAAACCACCAAATTCCTTATCAATCCCTTTACAAGAAGATGCACCCTGACAAATGTTCAAGGGGGTGGCACACGGAACCCCCAGGAAGGCAATAATGCAGTTTGTTTAAGGGTAGGGAATTGTGAAAAAACAAGCCAGAAATGTCCAGGGATTGCTTCCTGTCCCAAACCACCAAATTCCTTATCAATCCCTTTACAAGAAGATGCACCTGCAAATTTCAAGGGGGTGGCACACGGAACCCCCAGGAAGGCAATAATGCAGTTTGTTTAAGGGTAGGGAATTGTGAAAAAACCCAGGGCAGCCTGCCAAGAAGAAAGCCCTGTTTCTCAGGTAAAGCCAGAAATGTCCAGAATCTCTGGATTGCTTCCTGTCCCAAACCACCAAATTCCTTATCAATCCCTTTACAAGAAGATGCACCCTGACAAATGTTCAAGGGGGTGGCACACGGAACCCCCAGGAAGGCAATCATGCAGTTTGTTTAAGGGTAGGGAATTGTGAAAAACAAATTGGCCAGGGCAGCCTGCCAAGAAGAAAGCCCTGCTGTTCTCAGGTAAAGCCAGAAATGTCCAGAATCTCTGGATTGCTTCCTGTCCCGAACCACCAAATTCCTTATCAATCCCTTTACAAGAAGATGCACCCTGACAAATTTTCCAGGGGGTGGCACACGGAACCCCCAGGAAGGCAATAATGCAGTTTGTTTAAGGGTAGGGAATTGCGAAAACAAAATGGCCAGGGCAGCCTGCCAAGAAGAAGAACCAATACTAAACCAATTCTAAACTGTAGTCAACTGAAAGACTACTGAACTAGTACTAAACCAATTCTAAACCGTAGTGAGCCAGCTCAAAGGAATACTAAACCAATACTAAACCAATTCTAACAATATTTAGTGGAAAACTACTCAGGCAGGTCTAGTCTGACCCCCATTTAGTTTTTTGGGGTTTTCACTATTGACCCCACCCGCCCCCATTCGTTTGAGGGGGGGGCCTTTATTAATCACTCCCCAACATGAAGCCACGTGTGAGACGAGTTTCGTGCCTTGCCACAAAACGGAAAATGAACCGAAGCCCATATCGAGCGAAGCGACGAGGCCGGGGTGTGCAAAATGATGCGGGGGGAGGGAGGGGGGGGGGGGTGATCCGCAATCAGCAGTTGCTTCAGGGGTCTTGGGGGGGGGGGCGGGAATTCGGGAGCAATTCGGGAGCCCGCGCCCGCCCTGAATCTGTCGATTCGGGAGCCCGAACCCGTTGATTGGGGAGCCGGGGTGGCAGAGAACCAGCGTTGATTTGCGCGTAGATTCGGGAGAGTCCCGAGAGCCCCGAACACAGTCGATGCGGGAACCTGTTGCTTCAGGAATCTTGGGGAGGGAGTCTTGGGGAGGGAGCAATTCGGGGCCGAGCCCGTTGCGGGCGTCGATTCGCGACTTGAATTTGGCTTTTATTATTTTTTTTCTTGAATTTGGCAGAGCTCTGAACCCGTCAGTCGGGCACCACTATACCACAGGGGACATCGCTACTGGATCTGGCGCAAGACGGCTTGCTTTGCATCGCACAAAACTTTCACTTTTGGCAGGGCGGGAACACATACATTTCCACAAAGTGAAAGGCTATTCAACACCCAACTCAATAGAAGGTGAGCATACCTGAACCCTCCAAAAGTACTGAAATTTCCGTACATGCAGAAAAAAACGTCAATGTACACTTTTGAGGAGATTTGACGGAAATCGCTTTAGCAGGCTGTAAGCGTTTGTGGTGCGCCTGGATACACATGAACACAGTTTGCAACTTACATGGCCCGTCATACTTAATTCCGTTCCAGGTCATTCGTCTCCAATTGCTGTGGGATAATGTGTGACCTCTTCCTTGCAGCTTTTGCGAGTTTGCAGCTTTCTTAGCCAAAATGCAGAAACCGGAAATGCACGGAAATCGGCGGGAAAAGTACGGAAATCGGCGGGAAAGTACGGAAATCTGCGGAAAAGGTACGGAAATCAGCGGAAGATTTGCTTGGGGAAATGCGCACCTTTTGTCCTTGGTGAATTGCAGACCTTCAAATGGTTTCTTCGGCCCATGAGCATGACAATCTCCAGTGCCAGGGCGGGAGCTGAACGTGAGATTCTTGTAGAAAAACGCAGTTAAATGCTCCTGTGTCTTGTGTTGAGCCTGCAAGAAAAGTACAGTTTTGCTCAAATATCTCAAATGTACGGATTTCAAGCAAATGCACATATTTTTGCAGACAGTCGCAAAAAAAGTGCCCTTGGTTGGTCCAGGTACTCACTACCCCCTAAGTTGAAACACCAATCCCTGTGTTTCTCTTTCGTTGGCGCTAACCACAGACCGGACCCGCCAGGACATGTTCATCGCATGGCTGCGAAGTGGCTAGGAGCCATGGTTTGCAAGCCGCTTACGTGGTGGTAAGTCCGACAAGTGGGTTATGGCTAGGGTTCATCTCCAACCCTTTTGCCAAGTCCCGGACCATGGACATCCCGAAGCAATACACACGCACACGCACACATGTTTCAAGGGAACCCTTTGCATGGGTGTGGCTCAAAAATAGGAGCCCAAATGGAACCCTGGTAGATGGAAAAGTATACTTAAACGCACGGGCTCGAGCACCCGCAAACGCAAATCAGAGGCTAGCCCTTTGGGACCTGGACTGTGCGCAAATGGAAACCCCTACAAACCCCAAGAAGGTAAGGTGGCCGAACTACGGCGAATCCGCCTCCAAGGTCTCGTTCATGATGGCGTTCTTCAGCTTGTCAATCGCCGGCATGGCCGTTCCGTCTTCCTGGACCCGAGCCACAAGTCGAGACTCCCGGGGTCGGTGGACTGAACCTTACCTCCCCCCCCGGCAAAAAAAAAGAAGAAAGTGTCCACGGTTTTGCTGGGGGATGAAGGTAAACCGGGTTTTCTGTATCTCCCCTTGCGGCGATTCTAAACATTCCCGTTTGGGCCTATAGTGAGCTTCATTTGGGTAGGGTGATATTGAAGGAGAACTACCCGAAAAACGTGGAAACCCGAAAAAAGATGCGTGACATGATGCAAAACGGTGACTGAAGTCTGACGATGCTTCCTGGATCTTTGCATTTTATCTTGCAAACATGGCAATTACGCTTGCGAGAAGCCCCGTGTGGACGGATCAAATCGTGCACCAGTTGCCTGCTAGGTGGTTTATCCCGGTAAAGGGTTTCATCCATCCCAACTGGACCCCTGGGGTTCCAAAGGCGGTTTATTTTGCATGTTTTTGTGAAAGGCAGTTTTTTGCCAGGAGCAGTTTTGTCCAAGCTCAGCTGATATCATTGAACAATTCGGGGGCCGCACGTGCAAAGACTTGACCTCCGTTCCCACAAAACAAGCAGAGGGATTACCAAAGGACAGGCCGAAACACATAGATTCACCGGTGTCAAAATTCACGGCAGACAACGTGCTTTCACGCTGGAAAACAGGCTTTCACGCCAATTTCACGGTATGTTCACGGTGATTTCACGCTACTTTTGCGTACATCACGGACCGCTATGTTCACACCAAAATTGTTGTTGGGGTGGAACAGGCTTCGTATTGTGGATTTCCAGGGGGACGGATCCACAGTCCGACAAGCGGACCTTCGTTTTCGAATGGCGCCGAAGCGAATGGTGCCAAAGGCTGGCAATGGCCAACCGAATTGACTCAGTCGCTAAGGTTCCCGCGAGGAAATGACGGCCCACCCTTGCCAGAGATTTAGTGATGGCACAAGCCACGTGTAGTCAAAGCGTGTTAGTTGTCAACGCGGACAACGATGTCGGATGAGTATCTGCGGCTGATACTTCATCCCAGTGTATCTAAAGGCCCTTCCGGGAAAGACTGCCAGACAAAGGACCCCGCAGGAAGGGCCGTTCTGTTTTCAATGTTTTTGTCGGGTCTTTTTGTTGGAGTCCGCTCAATCCTACCCGGTTTTGTGGACTTCAAGCTGAAAGACTGTTTCTCACTTAGCCTACCAAAATGCACTTAATTGCAGCTTTCTGCTCCCTGCGACTCAAGCGCAAATGCAAAGCTCGAATCACCGTGTACTTAAGAGTGTTGCTAGCTATTGTGTGTGTTAACCTGGCCACATTAGTGGTGCTCTTTGCAGTGGCTTTGATTCAGGCAAAGCAAGGCAGATGCAGTCCAGACAATGAATTTTAAATCTGAGAACTCGCCATTCACGCTAAAACACGCTAATTCCACGCTCTGGAAAGTCCTTTCACGCACTCAGAGGTCCTTCTCACGCTAACTTACGCGGAATTATTGCTCGGCGATTTGACAACTTTATTTGTCCAAACCACGTCATTGCATTGCAAGATGCAACAGGTGATACCCTTGTCTTTGCGTTTCTCCAATTAGCCCTGTATGCTAGAGTAGTGTTGTAATTAGGACTTTCATTTTGCGCCTTGCCCCAAGTGCCCGTATTCGAGCTCAGGAACTAACCTCATTGTCATCCAACCTTTCCAAGGAGCCAATTGCAAAGCTCTTGAAACGCATACTTTCTTGGTAAGCCTGCATGGCATGGCCAGCAAAGCATGCACGCACATATCTCCCAGGAGGTCCTTTGTAAACCTCCTGGGAGGGCCGTTGACAGACTGGGTCATGGTAGCTCTTAGTTTTACCCCCCCTCAAAAGAACTGGAATCGCTCGCCATAAATGGGTCCTGGAACAGCTGAACATATCAGCACAGAGGAGCGTCAGGCACCCAAGCCCTGCAGGAGAATAAATCCCCCCCAAAAGACGATCTGAATCGATCTGATACGATCTGACAAAGATCTGCAATGCTCACATGGGTGTCTCTTTGAGGGTAGTATCCTTGTTTGGAATTCTGAAAATCTGGACGAAAGCGAAGTCTATTGTGTTGCATGTTTATAAGGATCTCTGCTTTTCTCAGAGGCTCATGTAATCTTCTCTAAAGTCAACCCGACTTGAACAAGCTGGCAAACTATTGGGGGGTGTTCCCCCAAACAAGTTCGAGTTTCCCTCCTACACGGGACACCTCGTATTTATCAACCAGGCGTTGTTAATAATTGATAGAGCTCTTACCAGATGCTCGTGCAATCTTATCTGAGTGGTTCGTTGATCCTCTGCTGAAAGTGATACTTTAGTGGCAAAGTATTCAAGTCTAAGAGTAAGTTCTCTAGATGATATCTCTCACTGCCAAAGCTGAGTTCCCGGCGCTGCATATATCGACGATCCTTAGCTTGGAATTGGGCGGTGGCAGCTTGCAGGAACGTGGGAATAACCTCCTGCTGGCTGGTTTCCTTCCAACGAAAACAAAGAAGGTGTTGGAGATAGTATTGTTGACACTCCTGCTATGGGTATCCCTTAAATTTCTAAACTTTGCACAACTTCTGTCTGGTTTCCCTTCAAGACGAAAGAAGGGATGGCAACCCAAGCAGCTGGACATGTCATTCACCGTCAGCTGTTGGTTTGGCTTGACTCCAAGACCAACGCAGGAACCCCCACTGTCAATCCCGTTGACTCCTGCGCTCTTCCAAATCGAAAGGCCGGCATTGGGCTGAGATAAAGCCACCAAATCCAAAGTTCGGCGCTTCATGTTCAATAGCCTCATTCTGTTCCCGATATTTTTTCTGGGACCCTCAGCGGGTCTTGTTCTAACTGCGTTTCTCCTTTTGCCCATCCGCAGCCTGAGCACAAGTTTGCTCGAACACGATCCCCCGGCCCTAATTGGGTTGCCCATCGGCAAGGGAATGGGCCGTTTGCCTGCTGTTGAACATATCAAGTCATGTGGTTTCCCTAGTTCTGCAAGCAAGTCTTGCCCAAGCCTGCCATACCCATGCAGGGGGACGGGGGGGAATCGCCCAACACAGTCACAAGAGAGCCTCCCACAAACAAAAGTAACCCACTCGAATCGGAGCTGGAGATTGCTCTGGGCAAATCATTGCAAAACAAACCACCATGCATGAGCTATAAGAAACCGACTTCGGTTGCAAACCCAAACGGAGAAAAGGGCCAACGTCGTGTACCCCGAGAACGTACCCTTTGCCATACCCTCTTGTTGGCCATATATATATATATATATCATATACATATACATATATATATATATAACATATACATATATACATATGCACTCACCCCAGTTAAAAGTGGTTCATATCCCCAGTCAATAAGTCCCGATTCCATGGGTGACCGGGTGATATAAGATATACATATATTTACTTAGGTGGCCATTCAAGCTACGTGCATAAGCGTGCATCATATATATATGTATATATATATACATATATAATATGGATATGCGTGTCTGTTTCAGAAAGCTTTTCTTAAAGGATTGGTTTACAGAGACCAAGGGTAAATAAGCCATTTTAGGGTTCCCCTGTATGAAGCGAGGGGCACACGCGCTGACTGGGATCCATATAATCCGACCCGCCCGCTTCTGTGGCCATCGGGTCAGCCAAAGGGCTCGTCTCATCGGTGCTTGCTTTTGGGCGGAAAAGCAAATCAATGGGAAACACGAATTGTCTCATCAGTGTTTGCTTTTGGGAAAAACATGGCGGCCAGTAGGACTTAAATTTCAATTGGGGCCTTTCTGGTGGACATCGTTTACATGTGTCCATAAATCACTTTCGAGGGGGTCTCATTCATACCCAAATTAGTGGACGTGTGAAGATGGGGATTTGGGCCCACATGTTCCTTTTTGGTGTCCCTTTAATCCAGCCTGAAAAAGGGGGCTCTAAACAAACAAGAACGAAAGGCCGTCCTATTTCAGTGGGAAAGGGCGGGTTCTCAGTGGAGGGGTCCCTAGTTTTCCACACATACCAGCCACGGGCAAGAAGGAATCCCATGCGACTCTTCGTGGTGGCAAGGCACTCGAAGACTTCATCCACAAACCTGAGGGGCAGGCGGAAACTCGACGAAAACAGGCAGCGGACGGAGGCGACTGAAACCTCAAACATCAGTGGGCTGCCCTCAGATCCCCCGCTAAAGGTTTAACTTTTAGTGGATTAAACGAAAACTACCTCTCAACAATAAAAGGCTAAAAAGCTAACGGGATGGCTGGGAGCCACCAAGATCAAACATAACAACCCTGCAATCAGACATGGACCGCCAACACAGAAGCTTTCACCAGTTTTAGGACTCTTGACAGAAGTATGTCCCTTTATATTTTCTTGGACATGCAAAGACATGAGGCGACCAACTGAAAACAACATTTCAACAAACCGCTCCCCTCTTTGAACAGCACCCAACCCCATACACGGTCTTAGCAAATGGTTCAGGATGTGTTTTAGCCCTCGCTATCCTCTGCACAAAACCAAGCACATCCCTCTAAGAAAGCTCCAACTTAATTACCTGAATTTGGCATACCGGTATGCCCCATCCATAAGCCATTTGTAAGGATGGACCCTGGATGGCCCGTGTAAACCTGACAGCCCCTTCACCACTGATTTTCGGTGTGTCCAGACCTTACACTCCACCAAACTGGTTGTAAGCATTGAGAAAACGACAGCATGGGTGCGTTTCTAGGCTCGACAGCCAGCCAAGTACCCACGCCAAATAAAACCGACAACTTAAACCCTATGCTCCTGCCCGAGTGGTCCTGGTAGCTAGAAACAGGGAACCCTTGGGTTCATCATTTTCAGTGAACCCGCCAACAAAAGCAACGATTTAGAGAGGTGTCACAGAACAACTGCTGAGGGTCCTTTGTTTCTTAAACCTGATGATTCATGATGATTCCATTTACCTCTATAGCCAACGGTATTGCTTACACTGGGCTTCCTCATTTGTCGTTTCCCCTTGGTCACCTATAGCGGCCTACCTGGACTGAGCAGCCGGGAAGCTTCCTCATGGCTTTGAAGAGCAGGCGCCCATCCGCGAAGTAGGGAAGCTCTTTGAGCATGGGGTGAAGCCTCGGCTGAAGACTCTTGCCCACCAAAGAGATATCTGTCATTATATGGCAGTGGCATGAAAACAAGCCTAAACCTGCGTAGCCCCAGGTCTCTAATTAACTTTGAGCCACACCCATATGGGGGTAGATCAATATCATCGTTTTAGTGGGTTTCCCCGATGGTTATCCACCTTTAGATCAACCCCATTGGTTGATTCTGGCTGCAATTCTGGTCCAATAGCAACCCGAAGCAGATTGAATTCCCGAGCTCGTCTTGACACAAACTTAATCGAAATGCTCGATAGAATGCAAAACGCCAGGCTCGCCTTGTAAGCCCGCCCTTGGTGAGCCAGGCGATTCCGTGCTTTGGACTGGGAGATAGCAAAACTGCTGGTACTAGTTGTACGGGCTTGCGGGACTGGAGGTTACTAACCACTTCACTCCCAGAACATCCAAGTAAAAGCACCCACCCGTTCGGAAGACTTGGCGACAGTGGCCTTAAGATGCCGGGACCCATGAGTATGTAGAACCCCCGAGTTCAAAGGCCATTCTCCAGCATGAACATGTTTTACCGCGGTTTGGTTGCAGCGGTCATACCACACAAACCTAACCAAAAACCCTTAGCCGCCTACACCAGTTGCTTTGAACGAGTCTTTAGCGCGTCATGGCGCATCCCGCGTTTGGCCTGTGCCAATTGAGCAGCTGCTGGCGAATTAGTGATTGAAACCCCACCATTCTCCACAGAGGACGGCTTGTGGAAGTTCTGGTTTTACTAGAATAGATGTGTTCAGTGAACACATGTCCAAACCAGTTAGGCTGTATAGGCATAACACATGGATTTGAAACAGCACATGATTCAAACATATACACATCATCGAACTAATTGCAAGAAACACATACAATGGAAACAAGGGCCTCCCCAATGACTGACTCTTCGAGGTTCTGGTTTCCTGGTAAAGAAGTTGGATGCCCTTCCTGTAAACCTAAAGATCAAAGCTTGGTTGCTGTTGACTCCTCTTCAAAAAAGTTGAACTTTTGGTAGGTCCAATGGAAAGTCCTCTGTTTCCCAAAAGTCAATAATGTTGACCCAGGATTAATACACCCGTCCCATTATTGGGGGGGTGTTCCCTCCAAAAGTGATGAATCCCCACCAAAAGGGGGACACTCCCCAATAAAAATCAACCAGGGGTTTATGCATCCAGGGTTAACATTAGCCATAAACCACGGTCCAAGCAAAGAGCGGCTCACGAACTCGGCCCCCGGCTTATCCCACTCGGCGGGTTCCGTTATGGGCTGGCGCGTGCGGCTTGGAAAAGGGCGGGCGCGCGACAGAAGACACCAAAGGCCCCAAAACCAATGGATGGACGAAATTTACTTCTTGCGCCGTATCCCAATCATAAAGCTTCCATCCCAACTTCAGGAGTTTGTCCACCCGCAGTCGGCAACCAAGGATAGCTTGGAGAAACTATTGATACACGGATCAATCCATGGCTCCCTGTCCGGGAGCCCCAACGCCCAAGGTTCTGAAGGAATCTGCTGAGGCATCACCCGACCCACGATTGGGGGCATGTTAAGGCAGCATTTAAGCAACAACTCAGGCCAGTCATGGCACGGTCTTTGAGGGGAGGGGCATGGTCAGGCCCAACAAGTCCAAACACGTCCTCGGGGGGTTGCGCTGCCTTGATGCCTTGGCTGTCCGTGATGTCGTCGATGAGTGTGGGAACTTTGTGACCTCGGGGGAGCGAACAGGGGTCCCTATATGGGTGGCTCGCCTTCTTTTCTCAGAGGACTCGTTTTGGATGGCTTTGAAGGGTAACCAAAACGAAACCATTCTAGGGGGTCCTGCATTTTACGACGCACATATTGTGTGCGAACGCAATATGTGGACACGCTGGCCGCTGGTGGGGTTCATGTCCACCAAGCACTTGTGAGGTTCTCTATTCAATTTATAGCCATATGTACCTTCCCTGCAAAACCCCTACCAAGGAAAGCTCACCTATGGACCAAAAATGTGATGTTAGCAAAAACATCACAGAACTGAGAAACTTAGGGGCCATAGCAGCTTAGCAATGGCCCACAACATCACTACTCTGAGCGCTGTTGAAGCAAGTTAAGGACGCCAAGGGATCATCTTGGCGGTGAGGAAGTTTTGGTGATGCTAAGGGTGCGGAAAGCTGAAGCCACGAGTTACGAAAGGTAAGAAAAGTCACGAACCACGCCCAAAGCAGCAACATTCGAGCGAGCCAAGCAACATGTTAACACATGTAAAGAGAACCCTGACTGACAAATGTCCCTCCTTCCAAAGTTGGGTCAAGGGCAAATTTGCGAGATGGTCCAACGCTGATCCAGTAAGGGGGGAACCATGAAGGAAACCTCAGCCCCACGTCAAAATCTCTAGGCCCCGACTAGGAAAGGATTGACAGGAACCTTCTCGATTGGGTTGTCGAGCCAAGTGGGGGTGCCAAGTGGGGGTGCTTTCACAAGGGTACAATTTTGGTAACTGACGTGAAACCATGGGAAATCAAACTAAATCGTCTATTCGGGGAGTAAAGGAAAACCGCAAACGTTTCTAGCGTTTCTCAAACATGGGCCCCTAAACAGGATTGGTTACCTTCTGGTTTCCCTTTGAATACCAACCAACACGGGCTCCGGTCCACCACTGCTTGAGAAACCTTCTTTAACTGAGCTGGTCAAAAGGAGGGCCTAATCCCAAATCCCTATACGGAAGGCACTCCACAGAAAACCGGTTCCTAACCCCAGGTCTGGATCTTGCGGATTGCCTTCCAGTCGCGGACTTTGACATTTCCTCGTGTGTTCACAAGTTTACGCGTGTGTATATATATATATATATCTACCAGTGCGTACCTTTTGGTTTGAGCACTGCTCCTGCTCAATTTACTTTCGTAAAACAGGTCAGTATGAGCATAGCCTGCATGAAACAAAAAGCCTGCCAAAAAACTTAAGTTGTCTAAAGACCTTAAAGTTGTTTCACTGGATCGAAAATTGAAGATTGAAGATACCCTAGCACACTTTCTGAGAATCTTCGATCCTGACCGACCCAACAAGTACTTAAAGTTTGTCTAAAAGCTTTCAAGTGTTTGCCACTGGATCCAGGATTCAAGGATGAAGGTAGTGCACAGAAACCTTGTTTGAGAAGCTTCAATTTGATCTCCTATCCAGGGTAAACCAGCTTGCATGCCGTTGCACAAACTTTCACCTTTTTGTCGACAAAGGTTTAGATTTCTAACCAAGTGTTCTGGGAAATCACAATCTAACCCTCGATCCAGGGTTTAATGATTGAACACTCAAAAGGAAAAAGCTTTCTTTACAGCAACATAAGCATGATTTGTAAAGGCGGGCCCAGCCTGTGAATTGACCATACATACATGTATATGGTTGCTTGCGTTTTTGGAGGGTACACTTGGGGCTGGTTTAAAAGGGAATTCAAAGGGAAAACCAACTAACATGGAACCTGACACGGGGGTTCTGGAACGGAATTGTCCTGTTAAAGGGACGCTTTTCAGGTGCCATGTTAATTGGTGGGAGGGCATATAGTTCGGTAGCAGGGACACACATGCAACTCGCACCAATCGGAGACTCGAGCGAGCTTTGAACGTCTCATAGGCCTCTGGCTGATCTTCGCAAAATCCTCGAAGGGCGTTGCGCGGTGCAGCAGGTGGTTTGGGCCTTGGACAGTCACATTCGAGTTGCCTTGCCCCCAACTAACACGGAACTTGACAGGTTGAAAAGGAACATGGTCCAAAATTTCCCCGGGTTCCATGTTCATTGGTGAGGGTACACTAGGGGATTTAGATGGCACAATTCCCCCCATCTGGGTAGGTAAAGGACATGGCGAAACCAAAATCCGGAAAATTGTGCCATCTACTTGTACCACTTGTAGTCCTGATGGCCGAAATCCGCTTCGCGCCAGCGCGTTGGCTTGTCCCATAGGGTCGCAGTGTGCAATCGAGGGAATGTGACACACAAAGGGAACATCCATGGTTCCCCGAGATCTGGGCTTGAACCCAAAGGGCACCTGGTCATTTGAGAACCCAAACAACAATAAACCAACAATAATGATCGATTTCCTTTAAAACCAACAGGAAAAACAACAAGTATTCTTAAGCAAATGGAAGAGAACCACTGGACATCTTCACAAACCCGGCGCAGCGACTTCGATCTAGGCTTCCAACCGCACAGGACATGCACCGCCTGCGCATACGCGTCGCTCCTGCTCCTCCCTGAGTAATCAAAACCCGGTACAATACCCAGAACCATGCTTCAAGAACTAAGAAGGCGGCTATCCGCAGATATTTCTGGATCGTCCCCTTCATCTCCCCGGGCTTTGATTGTGGCTCACCTCTTTGCCGGGTTCCCACATTCTCAGACAGAGACGCAGACCTGAAAACCCACCAACAAGCGAAGACCGGTGCATCCGAGCGCGCGGAACCCAAAGCCATGTCGGCTTCATTGGCATGCTAGCTGCACATCCAGGCTGAAACCAAACCTGAGATAAGTGTGGCTCAAATTAGGGGAAGCCCCAAACTTGAATGCTTCTTCGCCGTTTGGAATTTCCTTTCGAACCAACACGACAAAAAGTACCAAATTAATTAGATTACAATGATCCTTGTCTCTGTTTCCCCAATCTTTGGTCTTGGGACGGGGGTCAAAACTGGGCCTAGTCACTCCACTGGAGATCAACAATGAGAAACACATCAAGTACCCAGAACTATCTGGTTCCCTGCTATGGCGGAACAGAAAGCGGCGGGTTTTACAGAATTCCCGACATATCTCCCTCCAACCTACCACCCCACCAAGGGAAAGGCACCCTATCGGAGCCTTTCTTTGGGCGTGTCGGAATGTTCAACGCTCCGATTTTCCACCCCGTCTTTCTTTCCCCTTAAGAAGAACCATAAGCACGGCATGGACATTGATGATGGAGGAAGGATGGCAAAGTGGAAGTCCAATCTCCATGACTTTGGCAAAACAAAAGCGGCCTCGCATCCGTTGCCCAACATGAGATCCTTCTACGTTGCTGGCGCGCATGGTCCATCAGGGAATGACTGAGTTAATCGATTCGGCCTGGATGTTGACGAAGATGGTGCCGAAGGTAAAAATGGACCAGAGCCTTCGCAGCGGATGCTCTGGTGCCACCGCCACGCCTCAGACTGTCAGACGACCGTCGGAACGACCGTGACATGCGATTGGCCACGGAACACTGAGGGTGGGTTCACTTCCGATTGAACTCTTGGGTTGCCGGTCGCTCAGGAAAAGTAACACGTTTACTACATGATATTCCCAAGCTCGCATCCAGAAGCAAGAGCCAGGCCTTCTGTTGCATACTTCCACCAGCTAGGTAGCTAGGTCTTCTCGCGGAAACAAATCAGACCTTTTCAGCCCCATGATTCGCTCGGCGCGCGGCGAATGGCTCTCGCCAGGAGATTCCCGGTCCTGGCATCACGGCCATGGACACGGCGATTCGGTTTGAGTTTGTGGCAAAGAACTTGCTGCTGCTCAGTGGGGAATGTGGGAATGAACCCAGGGGTTTCCTGACAGGAAACCAAAAGGGATGGCTTCGTCATTCCCGCCATCCCTGCTAAGCACCAGCAAGAAAATTGTGAGAGCCCAAAAGTGGCGTCTTTCCTTGTGGTTCCCCTTTAAGCCAAGCCCACTCGTATTTACCTCTCAAAGTTGACATGGAACAACTCCCACCTGGCGGAGTAGCAGGTTCGCCAATTCCATTTTCGAGTTTTGCCCACAGGGACAATGGAGACATGAAACTCCGGAAGGTCCCGTACCTCCGAGAAAGCGGGTCTCTTGACCATGGCACAAATCGCGGAGGAATGTTCACGCCTCGTTGGCAAGGTGCGACCCATGAGGTGGACAGGAAACAAGGCACGCGTAAACTCAGCGACTTGGCTGTGGGGGTAAACTGAGCTTCCCTCGAATTGCAGGTTTGGATGGGTGCTTTGGTGCTTAAGGGGTGGTTTCCGTCTATGTCTCCATTATCTCTGTCTTGCCAGCAGCGCGGGGGCGAAGCCCTGAAGTCTGCGGGCCCTCTGGTTTCCCAAAACGGGGAGCAACGGGCGATCCTCATGTGATCCACTGGTGGAACATATCACGGGTGTGGCATTTTCTTTTTGGTGGTTGGCCGTATCTTCGGAGGTTGGATTCTTTTGGACCCACTTCGCTATATCTTTGGAGTTCGGACAATTTGGGACCCCTTTACAAACATCAGCGTGCTGTTATTGAACGTGCCCTTTTCACCTTGTATTCCTGAATTGAACACCTCTGGATATTTGAACGTAACACCTCTGGAAAACCACCGTTTTTGGGCTCCCCCGATTTTGACACGTATACCATAGGACGCAGCTCCCCAAGGCCACGGAAGAGTGCCCCAGCCCCAGCGATTGGAGCCTGAAGTGGGTAAAGTGCAGGTGATCCGTCAAGGTCACACCTGCGAACGCTAACGTCTCATACCCTTTGTTCACCGATCTGGTAGTCTTCCGAAACCCTTCCGTCCACTTCCGTCCACTTCCATGGTTGGAAGAAGGGCGCCAATCTGGAAGTGGACAAGGAACCCGGTGAAGAGAACGGTAGTCTTCAAAAACCCTTCCGTCCACTTCCATAACGGTTGGAAGAAGGGTTGGGCAACTGGAAGAATGGGAAGAGGCCCTGTTCCTAGCTGCGTTACTTGTTGCATCCCTGACTTCCGGTATGGGAATTGAGAGTGGCATTTGGCAGAACGGAAGAGCCATGGGCAACATGCTCTGCAGGGTCCGCTTCTCAACCAGTAGTTATAAGGTGTGGTCCGCAATCAGTACTTCCATTTGGTTAAGACCCCTGTAAAAAATATATTTCCAGTAGTGATAGATTCCCTTTAAAACCAACAGGGGGAAATATAACATAATCTGAAGCAAATGGAAGAGTAGGAGCCCTTTTGGCAAAAATGATAGAGCGCTAAATACTTCGAAATGAAATCAGCGGAATCCCATTCACGTTCAACCACCTGACCTACAAAAAAACCTGTGGTCCTTCTGCCGCGCTTGTGCTGTTGTCTTCTTCAGCAAATTGCCCTCACGTTCAGGAAGGCCACTAAGTCAGGCAACCGGTTCGATTTATAGATGTTGCGTCTTAATCTGAAAGCACGAGTTTGCAGTGTGGCTCCTGCCTTCCTTATGGGATTGCGACTGGTGACTTGCCGTGGTCAAAAAACAACTCCTGGAGCCAACCCATCGATGTGAGTGTGTGTTTATTTATTTAGTTAGTTTGTTTGTTTGCTTGTTTGCCAGTCTGTCTGTTTGTTTGCTTGCTGGTTTGTTTTTCGTGTGTGTACACATCCTCAAAAAGTACTCTCCGAGGGGAACCACCACCTTAACATAGTCCTTACATCCCCTCAAAATGTTTATTTCTACTTTAATCATCTTAACATTCTGCAAGCCCTAACCAACATTCCAACACTAAAAAGAGTAACCGGGCAGATCAAAACGACTAATATCCACAAATGAAACCAATAGTAGATTGTCCTCCCGGTGCCTTGGGTTGCCGAGGGACACCACCCTGCAAGAACCAAAAGGAGAAGGACCGATCCTCTACTATCAGGGTTGCTGCAAAGACCCTGGGACAAGGGTAGGCAAACTGCTTGTGTCGAACAAAATAGCCAGGCCCTATGCATCACGGTTACGACTAGTTTCGCAATGATCCGTTTTGCTTTTAAGATACATGGTGGGACACTCTACGGTGACCTACAAGAAAAGGCTCATATGGAATCACTGGAAAGTTGTACCCTTGCGGTCTGGTTGCGTTTCAGAGGCTCGGAGCAGCCCTGGGTCAAGACCCTGAAGCCAAGGCCATGCATCATTCCAACAACCGCTACGAGGACAGAAAGAGAACCAATGCCTTGTTGGATGCCGGCGCACACCACAACAGGTCCAGCGCGTCTTGCCCCACCAGGACCCGGTTACTTGGGGCAACCATCAATGACAGCACGCCCGACAGCCGAGGATCATCCTGAAGGCGCCTTTCTGTAGTTTGTCAAAAACCCAGAAGTGTTGTTTTAGCGAACTTTGTCCGCCCACCTCTGCCATCGATGAATCAGATCGGGTAGAGGCATGGGCTACCGCTCTCTCAAATCACGACTAATCTGCAAAAGGCGCGCAGCCCCGACCTGCAGGGGTTCTCCCTCTGAGGTACTGCGCTCGCGCCGGCTCTTCCCCTCATACTGTGCTTGTCACAGCTAAGGGGTGGTGCTCGGACATTACATTACATTACATTACAATGGCCGAAGCAGGTGCGTGCTTCGTCGTGCGCTTCGTCGTGCAAATTCGGAACGAGGGCTCGGTGGACTCGCGGGTCGTTGAGCCGGGGCGAGTCCAAGCGGTCTGGATGACCCAGCCCGGTGGCAAACGTTTCGAGTCTCCCAGCCAGAGGTCCAATGTGGAGGCACTTGCGATTGTGAGGTTCTCCAGCTGCATTTGGTCTAGAAGCAGACACACAATCACACACGCACAAAAAACAAACAAACTAACAAAAAAAACAAACAAATACACAGAAGCAAACAAACAAAAACCAAAAACAAAAGACAAACAAACAAACAAACAAACACACAAACATACAAACAAACAAACAAACAAACAGACAAACAAACAAACAAACAAACAAACAAACAAACACACAAACAAACAAACAAATACACACAAACAAACACATACAGACACACGCACAGACACCCACACAAACACACACACACAAAACACACACAAACACACAAACACACAAACACACAAACACACAAACACACAAACACACAAACACACAAACACACAAACACACAAACACACAAACACACAACACACACACACCCAACACACAAACAACACACAACACACACAAACACACAAGCACACAAACACACAAACACACAAACCCACAAACCCACAAACCCACAAACCCACAAACACACAAACACACAAACACACAAACCCACAAACACACAAACACGCAAACACCCAAACACGCAAACACCCAAACACACACCCACACACACCCACACACGCAAACATGCAAACACGCAAACACAGTAACACACAAACACACAAACACACACACACACACACACACACAGACACAGACACACACACAGACACACACACAGACACACACACACACAGACACACACAGACACAGACACACACACACACACAGACACACACACACACAGAGACACACACACACAGACACAGACACACACACAAACAGACACACACACACACCACACACAGACACACACACACACACCACACACACACACACCACACACACACAGACACACACACACACCCACCACACACACACAGACACTCACACACACACACACCACACACACACACACACCACACACACACACACAGACACACACACACACACACTCACCACACACGCACAGACACACACCACACACAGACACACACACACACACACACACACACACACACACACACACACACACACAAAAGCCCCCCATCCGGCACCCGGACGCGCAAATGATCCTCGCCTGTGACCAGGGTGCTGCGCCAGACAAACTTCCAGTACTGCCACCTAGGCTTTCCCATTGACTGGGATAGCCCACCAAGGAAGGGAGGTTCCGCATTTCAGGAAACACTGCGAGTTCCCGTCCGTCATTTTTTCTGGGTGCAACAAGAAAGAACATGGGTTGAAGGAGGCACGCATCCTTTTGCCCTTCCTTTAAACACTATCAAGCTAGGGAGTGTCCCCCATTGTGGTCTATTCCCAGAGTATTTAACAAGTACAAAAAACCAGGGGGAGATCCAAACTGCATTTTAGACAAAAGTGTCAGTTTCATTGAAGCCCACAAACAAATTGGTTCAACATCTGCACTTGGCCAATCCAATGACGTTTGGTTTTTGGCGTGTTCGTAATGGTCGTAACGTAGCCCTTTTGCAAATTGTTGTGTAGTACACAACGCTGGAGAACAATGAAGCAGAACGACCAACAATGAACATTTCGGGTTCCAACTATTGTGGCTTTCCTTCTGGTGTCCCCTTACCAAAGGGGTCTCCCCAAGCGACCCCCCCATTCAAATCCAAGCCGATCCCTGGATTTGGTGGAAAAACTGTGCCACATTTGGGATCGACCCCAACTGGATTTGCAACACCTCTTCCCCTGTCCCCCTCTCCTTTGCTTGCCCCCTCTCCCGAGTTTCCCCAAAATAAGGCCAAGACCTTTGAAGAAAACCGGGGGTGATCGACCGAAGGCTGGGTGTCGGACTCGCGCTCGCCTCGGGTCACCTCCAGCTGGGCTTTTGGTAGGTTGGAGTGGGGAGGAGAGTCCCCCCAAAAAAGGGGGCCAGCCATAGGTGGCCTTTTGGAAAAATAGATGGCCC